ATTAAACCTATATTGAAAAGGTTAGAAAGATAATTTTTAAAGGATTTTACTGAAGTGAGAGTTTAACGAAATGATTTGAGTGGTATCCTGATTTGGAAACAAGTTGTAATCATTGCGGTGCTATGCCGTTGTTGACTCATTTTCTTACTGCTCAGTCTTTATTTACTCTTATTACTTACTGGGTTGGAGTACTCACATTACTCCCCGCACCTCGTATGCAAATTCAGGTATTTCGGAACCCGGTAGCGGGTGTTGATTGCTCATAGGCGGAGTCATCGGAGTTAGCAAGGTCGCTGCATGATGTTCGCAACTCTTCTTTCCTTTCCCTCATTTTTATTACTGTATTTAGTATATTTTTAGACTCTTGTTGTATTCAGACCTTGGTATATGCTCATGACTAGTGACACCCCCGATGTCGGGCTTGTGTAATTATTCTGCATTTGTTTTTAATATTTTATTATTTGATTATTGATTTATAAATGGTATAAAAACAACTTTTATTGGAAAATGGTTAATTTGGGAGTTGCGTTGGATAGCCTAGTTTCACGATAGGTGCCATCACGACCTGGTCGATTTTTGGGTCGTGACAAGTTGGTATCAGAGCCTAGGTTACATAGGTCTCACAGTCATGAGCAGGTTTAGTAGAGTCTCGCGGATCGGTACAGAGACATCTGTACTTATCCTCGGGAGGCTGCAGAACCTTTTGGAAAAACTTCACATTCTTGAATTCTTATCGTGCACTCTTGATTCAGCTTGGAATGTAACTCTTTGAATTCCTTCCACGCGTTCGTATGCGCGCATGAGCGCTCAGTATTAGATATGCGTCGATGGATTGTGATTCCTTGATCGAGGGGCGAGATGTAATCTTTGTGTGTTAATGTTGGGCCAGCCTGGAAGACTTGGGGCCGGATTTTTGCCTATAGCTTGAGCCCTGAGTTGTTGATTGTGTGACCGCGTGTTTCTGGATCTATATGTTCTATGGTATCCCTATTAAGGGAAGTAATGACTGGATAACTGCATGATGAGGGTGAAGTGACTGCGAGATGTGTTCATATGAATCAAATGAGGCGAGAAGGATCTGCTTTGGGGCAACAAGAAATATTAGGTACTTGATTTTCATCTCGATTTGAGGTATAGCCCTGAGTTATGGACGTATGAAGAATCTTTTCATATTTCCTAACTGGGAGTGAGGTAAATCTCATGTTGCAGTATTAGTTCAGACTCAGGGAGATCAAGCCACTACGTAATGTCTATGATGGTGGAAGGTATACAGAAGTGTTAGTTTGAGACAAGGTAGGTGGGTTACCTCCTGCGGAGTGTTCTGAAGTTGTGTGATCCTTGTGTTGTCTGTTAGAAGATCTCATTTACAAGTGAATTATATGTGTTGAAATTTGAATTTGGGTCGTTAAAGAGAGTGGACTTGACTGTTACGAGGGTGAACTTAAGATTTTCAGAAGGTTTAAAGTACTAGATGGTATGTGTTTCACGAGCCATGAAGTATGGAGTTTAATCTCACTTTGGTACTATGGCAGCAATAAAGTATATGCGTTATGAGTTATCATGTATGTTTTGATCTATGGCTTCGAGCCAAGTGGGGGAGTCTACTATTGATTAGTTGACTGCACGGTTATGTGCTATGTTGGTACCAATTGAGGCGTACGGGAGAATCAGTTATGGCCTACGGAGTTTGAGACCGAAGATGGCTCGAGTAAAGGAAAATTCTTGACAAAGGTTATAATATGCTTCATAGGTGTGTGGGAATCACGGAATGTCTTGAGTTGTTGTTGGTAAAGGATGCTCGGTGCATAGAGCAGGAAGCTGCTTGGTTGTTTTAGGATGAGGTTACACTCTGTAGTGTCGGAGTGCTATTGAGGCATGGGTTGTTCGGTTCGTTTGATTAGGCTAATTATAGTTTGAGTAGACTGAATGACTCTCGAGAATGGTTCTAATGTCCAAGATTTTACATGTGGTAATTGGATACTTTCAAGTTGTATATGTGACTAGAAACCGAGTTTTCATTAGAGGATATCAAGACTGGTGGCATTTCTATATCAATTATGGGAGTCTACATATCAGTATCAGGAATGTGAAGGTAATGGCTTGGGATTCATAGGAAGTCTTTTCAGGGTAGGTATTTTGAACGTGGTGCTTTTGGGAATATTTAAGAGAGTATTCAGCGGCTTATGAGCCTTAGACGGTGTGGTGTTATGCTCGAGTATCATGTGGCGAGTCCGGGTCGAGGATTGTGATGTGATAGCAGGAATAAGTATCAAGACGAAGGTAAATTCAGAGGGACTTGTATATATGTGATAGCTTGGTAGTAGGTCGGCTTGGCAGGGGAAAGGATATGATGAGTTCTCTGGGTACTTAAGAGGTAATGGGTTTCTATAGGTGTTTCGCGACAAATCTCTTAGGTTTAGTGACCTACGTAGCTCGGTTAAGTCAGAAGGATTTAGTCATGACGATTTAGTCTTGTGCAAATGGAATTCGAAGAGCTTTAGATGGTTTCCACCACAGTTAGATAGGTATATTTTTCCTATTGGCGTGAGGAGCATGGGATGTATAGTGATTTTCTTCTAGATGGGATTAATGGGAAGTTCTTGGCTGGTTGAGTAAGTTGTTGCTTGTAGCTCGGAGTGGTTTTCAAAGTTCTCGTAATTATAATTTGGGTGGTATAGTATATGTGGTATGTTGTATGGGGTTGAGGTTTGCATGTGTAAGGTCACGGTTCAGTTTTGAAAGAAAGGTCATAAATTCTTAGATAGCATAGACAGCTTCAGGTGACTAGATAAATGAGATCACTGATTGGTGTGGCTTGATGAGGGTATACATTTCAGAAGGGGCGATGTGTTTGAGTTATGGATCCTTTATTTGTATTGCGACATTGTAAGCACGTGATTTTTGCCCTGTATGAGAATTACTCCCAAAAAAAATTTCAAAAAAAAATTCATTTTTCTTGGTGTGCAATTTTGTGATATTTTGAATAATTATTTGTATTTGTCTGTGCATGTTTATTTGTTAAATTAATAAAAATACAAAAAATATGTCGCATTTTGCATGTTGGATTTAATCCTACAATTGTTAGAAATTAATTTTGATTTACAAAAAATAAAAATCACAAAAATAGGCATCGTTTGCATTTTTAGCAATTAATGTCAAAAATATATNTAGTTCGTCGTTGATTTCAAGATCCGTCAAAATAGTCCGTACATATTTCGTGTCGATCCGGTTAGTAGATTTTGAGTTTTATTTTGTCCGTATTTTGTTTTGATATTTCTCGAATCTAAAATCGGTAGATATTTGATTTTTGGTTTTGTCCATGTTCATATGTTTTGTTGAAATAATTTTCAGATTTCAAATGGAAATTTAATTAGTTGTTTTTCATGTTTATTTCATGTTTGTTTTATCGTTCTTGTTTATTGTTTAGTTAAAAAGTTGTTAGTTTAATGTTGGTTAAATACAAATTGAAGTTTAATTAATTTGTTTCATGTGTTCTATGTATTTTTTCCAGAAATTGTTAATATTGTTAAGTTCAAGTTTAAATTCATAATTGTTAAGTTTTGTTTTGGTATTTGCCTAAAATAACTTAGTTGTAATAGTGAAGTATGTTAGTTTAATCATTTGAATCCGTCGTTTTTATTTTTAGATTTAATTCATGTCTATACTTTGTATGATTGTTCTTGAATACGAAATTAGTATAAGTTTGATTTTGTTGTTTATTGTTTATCATTTATGATTATTTCTTGAATTTGTCTCATAATCTTGTTTAAAGTTTAATATAAGAATTGTTTGTTGTAATGTTGTTAGAGTTGATTTTAAGTTCAATATTATTGAATTTAGAAATCTAAATATACTTGTTTGATTGTTGTTGTTGAATCTGAAAATAGATTTGTTTGTTGCTAAAAATAGTGTTCAATCAAATTTTAGTTGTGATTAGAATATGTGGGTCGTTTGATTTTCAAGTTTGTAGGTCATCTTTAAACCTTTGAAATCCAGTTGTTTTACTATGAAAATTGATAATTCCAAAGAAAAAATGTTTCATTGTTCTTACCCAGTCTATTGTCCGAACTACGCAAGGTCTGATTCATGCGGGGTCATGATACGTAGGCAATCTCCATAAGATTCGACCACAACAAAAAAATGAGAAAAAAAAATTGAAAAAATAATTGAAAAAAAAAGGAAAAAGATGTTGCTAGTAATAAGAACCGACTGAGTCCATTCTAACATATTTTGTTTTGAATTGTGAAGAAAGTTGAGTTGGTCGGTTTGTTCAGAGGGTTCAATAAGAGTCTACTGTGCCGGGAAAAAATAGAATACTGAAACAGCAAATGACCGGAGTGTGTCAAGCATGGGCCAGTGGGCAAGGACAGCCTCGTCATGAGTCACAATTTGCGACACAACAAGAGCA